TACGTACGTACGACGTACACGACCGTACGACGACGACGACCCGACGACACGACGCACACACACGACACACACACGACACACACACACACGCACACACACACACACACACACACACACACACACACACACACACACACACACACACACACACACACACACACACACACACACACACACACACACACACACACACACACACACACACACACACACACACACACACACACACACACACACACACACCCTTCTCTCTCTTTCTCTCCCTCACGCTCGCCCCTCCCTCTCCCGCTCGTCCCTCTCTCTCTCTTTCACACACCCTCTCTTCTGTGCGTGCACTGTCTCTCGCACACGTTCTCGCACACTCTCCCCACTCTCCCTCGCCTATATGATATACCACAGAAACCGCTGCTCTGTACTCATCCGAGCTGGTCCACGTATTCTATGCGAAGAACACTTCTCTTTCTATACAGGGAAAGTGACGAATTCTGCAGCGGCTCGTGCAACAAGCAGGCTGCCAGCTTCCACCGCAGCAGCAGATGATGACGCACACCAGATGTCGAACATTCCATTTGCTGTGGCTTCAGTCTCGTAGCTGCGGTGCTCTCGCTGCTCGGCTGTGTACGGCACAGCGGCGGCTCGTCACACGTCCTCTAGACGCTGTGAGCAACGGACCGGCCTATCGCGTGGTGTACGAGTCGTCGTCAGCTGCTGTCTCACTAGATTCGCGCCTGCTTGCAACGATGTCGCAACCATCGCTAGGTCAGCAAGGGTGGAGCACGGGCGATCAGCGACGGAACTACGCCGTCAGGTGAGCCGCCTCTACCTGGGTGCACATGCTTTTTAGCACTTGGTCACACTCTCTAAACTAACTATCTTCTTTACTAGCTGCGTGGTTAGAACGTTTAGGTCCCACTCCCTAGATATTCATGTAGTTATTTGCTCTGGATCTACATCCGGATAGTATTTAGCATGTTGTCACACTCTCAACTACCTAGCAGTCTGGGTAGAAAGTTGAGGTCCCATTCCCTAGATACGGTAGATTGTCATGTAGTTATTTGCCCTGGATCTGGATTCGGATAGTATTTAGCACTTTGTCACACTCTCTCAACTAACTAGCAGTATGGTAGGGAAGTTGAAGGTTCATTCACTAGTGAATTCGTGGCATTTCATTAAGTCAACTTGTACCAGTTATTTCTCATCGGTCAGTCTGCTATAACGTACGACAGATTTAATCGATGTTGCTAGCTCGTTCTTATTCAAATATCAGAGTATTCAAAATTATAGTGAGAGCTCTGTTACGGTTTGCAACCGAATCAAATTTCACTGGCGGTTAGTGCTTCAAATTCATTTATGTACGTGCCCCCTATTTGTGCGTAAGTGTGCAATCGATGTTTAACATTTTAAATTTTTTAGCGCTGGAATGAATGCGATTGTGAAAAATCATAGTCGCTTGACGGGTCAACGATGGGTTTGGCGGTATAGATCGAACGTAGCATGAATGAACGCACGTCCGCATCCATGCCCCCCCCCACACACACACTATATATATATATATATATAGAGAGAGAGAGAGAGAGAGAGAGAGAGAGAGAGAGAGAGAGAGAGAGAGAAGAGAGAGAGAGAGAGAGAGAGAGAAAAGAAGAGAGATGGCGAGGCGCGAGCGGCTAATTGCGTAGAGATATAGCCAGATCTTTTATTACCAACGGCAATCAATGACTGCTTTTCATCATCGG